GTATGGTGTTCCTAATAATCCTTTAGGTGAGTGTATATTAGGGCTTGAATTAGCTTATATTTTTATATTTTCAGTTTTCATTGTAGTTTTAGTAATTTTGCCATGTGCTACTTTTGATTTAATATCTTCTTTTATATTTAAAGTATTTAATTTAATTAGTTTTAGTCATTTTAGTACTTAAATTTCGACCTTATTTCAGGTTGCCAAGGGAATATATATCATTTTTGCTAAACATTTTAATATTTCATATTTATATTTTATTACATTTCAGCTTCATTTAAATGAATGAAAACGATTTTAGTTTTAATTAACATTACCAATAATGCTTGACATAAGCAATAAGAGAAATGCTTGCCTAGTAACTCCCTAATTAATGGAAATCAATTGCAATGTTTGTGAAATACAAAAGCTCCACAGCTGTGTTTGGGTTTGAACATCACAGGTGAAGCTTTGTGTAGGAAGACATAGTCATAAACTGCATGAGAGACACTGATTCATTCATTCAATAAATACTCAAGAGACTGTTCCACACTCCCTCTATCTCTCGTGCATTAATAATAATGTGTTGGAGGAGCTGAACAACGGCTTACAGCAGAGATAACAGTCACACCCTGAAACAGAGGCTCATTGAAAATGACAAGAGAGAGTTGTCCAATAATATACAAATATGCACCAATACAGTCCTAAATTCAGATGTAGGGAACTAAATTCACATCTGCTGACTTAAAGTGATAGTTCCCCCCAAAATGAAAATTCTGCCATTATTTACTCACCCTCATGTTGTGTCAAACCTGTATGAGTTTCTTTCTTCTGTTGAACACAAAAGAAGATATTTTGAGGACCGTCGGTAACAGTCGCTGGTCCCCATTGGCTTCCATGAACAAACAAATACAATGGAAGTCAATGGGGACCAGAAACTTTTTGCTTACCGACATTCTTCAAAATATATTCTTTTGTGTTCAGCAGAACATAGAAACTCATACAGATTTTCAGGGTGAGTAAATGACTCAATCTCAGCTCAATATACTGATGAGAAATGTTTGAGTTCATATTCAGATCCCTGAAAGAAACTCATTATTGTTCTTGCTTATGGGTGGGGTTGTAGAAATATCTGCATTAAACTTCAAATAAGTTCTTTCAAGTTCTTTTCAGCATTCGTGAAGCACAAGTAGTCATTTTCAGAGACGTTTTTCGGATCGGATCGTTGCAGACTTGCAGCTTGGCAATGTTAACTTCACATCTCTCCTCGGCATCTCTTTCTCTCAAGCGTTTAGGCTCAATCGATAGATACGTGACGTCCTTCCATCCACCTCTTCAATTTGTTTCTCTCTATCTTTGTCCATCTCACAGACAGACAGAAAGTTGGGCAAGACAGCAGAGAAGGATCAATGCAGGATCTCACAGCAGCCAAAAGCGTTTCTGTGAGGATTTGCACGTGTTTGTGTGTGTTAAGGCAAGGTCACAGCGCAGCTGATATCCACACCGCCTCACACACACATGAGAACCTGTCAAAAAGCAAGCCATCCTCCTGGAAACACGACGCTGGAGAGCTGCACAGCTGAGATCTTGTTGCATGGATTCCCTGAGGCTTCAAAGAACAGCGTAATCTATCCTATAAAAGACATCAAATCTAGACATGCACTTTTAAAACGCTCTCTACTGCTTCCTTGCATCATAACTCGCTCTCCAAAGATATCGTTCGTCACATGATTCTGTTCTTCCTAAATCCACTATTTTTCCCATAAGAGCAGCGGCGCGGCCATTGTGAGAGGCTTCCGGTTTCATCTGCTTCCAGTTATTTTTAGCACTACAAAACAGCTTGTTATGTTGCTTGTTATTGCAAACTACTATTTCTTACCATATTTTAATGTATTGACGCAATTATAAACGCACTGGTTTGTAGCACAAACAGTTTTAGCATTCACTGCACTTTGTTGTTCTAATGAATCAGAAGTCTCGCACATACAAAATAGCTTGGATACTATCTAAATAAAAAGTACAAAAAGATGTCCCACTGAAAGCACATATTGAGTTCTGTCAGGACCACTATCGTCAAAGATGACTGACAGTTAGCATACAGTTTGGAGCATGGAGCAAATATCAAATGACATATTTACTAAACTACTGAACAATTGTATTAATAAAATAAATAAATTAATACACTACAAAATTACACTACTTTAAATTAAATTAAACTATAAATTAAATTACACAACAACTGAATCATTTTAAAAAGAAAATGCTTAATTACCCTTAATAAATAAAAAAGTAATTTAATACAATAAATAAAATATCAAATAGATTTTTTATAGTACCAAATTAATTCTAAAAATACAATTCTACATTGATTATATGATTACTAGGTAGGTAGCAAATAAGTCATAGTAAATGTTGCCAAAACTACCAGCAAAAACACTAAATTAATTTTATAAATATAATATCAAATTACATATTTACTAAACTACTGAACAATTGTATTAATAAAATAAATAAATACATTACAAAATTACACTACTTTAAATTCAATTCAATTAAACTATAAATTAAATGGCACAACAACTGAACAATTTTATAAAGAAAATGCTTAATTACCCTTAATAGATAAAAAAGTAATTTAATACTATAAATAAAATATCAAATTGATTTTTTATAGTACCAAATCAACTCTATAAATACAATTCTACATTGATTATATGATTACTAGGTAGGTAGCAAATAAGCCATAGTAAATGTTGCCAAAACTACCAGCAAAAACACTAAATTAATTTTATAAATAAAATATCAAATTACATATTTACTAAACTAATGAACAACTGTATTAATTAAAATAAATTAATGAATAAATTACAAAATTACATTAAATTTAACTATAAATTAAATTATATTTTTACTAAACTACTGAATATATTTATAAATAAAATGATAAAGTATTTTTTATAAATAAATTACCAAATTGCATTTTTACATAATTGTATAAATAGAATGATAAATTAACTTTAAAAATAATATTTTTATTTTATAAATAAATGTAAATAAATGTAGCTAAAAATTACAACTAAAACGTGATCAGACATGTTGCCAAAACTACCTGATTAATCAACAGACCAGAAATGAGCGCTGTAACAGCTTCAAATCCCAAGTGGGCAGTAACACGGGTGATATCATTTGTGCCCTTGAGTTTGACTCCTGACCCCAATCATCCTGAAGTGAGCAATGACACGGCCCTGCTGAACCCTGGGTCATCCTTCAAAGTACAAAGCATTCAATCTGGGTTATGCAACCAAACCACATCATTCAGGATGGAATATATGCTACTAACTGCATATACAGTTCTTTATAAAAAGTGTTCAATGATAATCTCTTTTCTAAAGGTGATGTTCTTCTCTAAAGATAAAGTTTGGGACTGTTGCATTGAGATGTTCATCCCACTGTTAAGTGCTCAGACCTTGTATCGTACCTTGAGTTCAGTTAAAAGCCTCTAAGTCTAAAGACACACTCCTCGGTTTTAGTCTCCATGTGAAGCTACTGAAGGCTGAAGGACAGGTTCAGAGTGAAGGTGAACGAGTCCTCCAACACAATCCAGTGACAGAGCGGCGGTACTTTATGACTTCATAAGGTGAAAGGATTGCAAAAATCTACATTTGAGATTAAATACTAAATTTAAGATTAACACTCTCAGATAAAAAAGATACAAAAGCTAACACTGGGGCGCTACCTTTTCAAAAAGGTACCGCCAGTGACAGCTTTTGTAGCGCTGAATGCAGGATAACAAACGCCAAACACAAAAATCTAAACTTTTTCCCAGCAGAACAAATAATAATTGACCCAGAGCCAAAGAGTTCAGGTGCCAATAAGAGCCCGTTCAGGACCCTGGACAGTTCAAGACCCTCCGAGACGAGGATTTAGCGTTTGACTCGAGCAGAAGAAGACAAACGGACATCTGGTGTCTGTGAACGAGCGGTTGAGCTCGCACAGATGTAAGATCAAACTAAATGGCAACAGAGACAACCATTAGACATTTCCTAATCAAACAGCACACTGGGGTAATGATTAATGTCCGTTGCTGCTGCCAGACCTGCTGCTATTGATACATTAAAGCAGACCTTTAAGGTTTAGCATGCAAAAAAGACACTAAAGTCTCCTTTGGGAGCCACTGAGATTGCACTTACTAAAATGGTCTATTGTGAATCTCAGAATAGAGGTCAGGGTTAACAAGTGGCCTAAATTCAATTGGCATCTTTATTCATGCAACTACAAGGAACTTCAATGGTACCATGACCAAAATTTGGTATATTTTCTTGTTTGGCTATAGTACAAACCTTTTATTTTTAAGAAACAAATCAGTTTTAAACTAAAAGGTGACTACTAATTTTAGCAATTTAGACTACTAATTCCAACATTTAGACAGTATGTGTATTCTATAAACAATTATATTGAAACACGGTACAAAAACACAAGGTACACTTACAAAAAAAAGTACAATGTTGAATATTTCATTATCAAAGTACCATGGCATTACCATATTGTGGCACTTTTTTGCAAGGATTTCATGAAATGCAAGAAATGCATAACTTTAGAATAGCATACTATTCTAAACATAAGTTAGTAAGTGCATTCTATAAATATTAAAAGTCTTAAGTCTCGGGAAAATGGCTGCAATGTCTTGTATAGGCTAATATTATTAGTTAGCTTTTAAGTAGTTTATTTTTTCCAATACACCATATTTTACCAAATGGAAAAACATGTGTATAATGAAGAATGCTTAAAAGTCTAGTTCATTCATGTAAATCAATTTCATTCGACACATGCATATTAATTCCAGGTGCACAGAGCGATCAGTGTTCAGCATTTCATGCGAAGAACCGCAGCGTTCTCAAAAGACTGCGCAAGCGTTCAGAAATAAAATGACAAAACACAAGACCACACGTCTATCCGCTTATATCGATACAGGTCTCATTTCTACAGCTAAATAAGAAACAAACCCATGCGTTAAGACATACCAAACACAGATGAACGAGAATCCAGCCTCTCTGTGAGCTTCCACTCTAGTAAAACACAATAACGGTGAGCCGTCGGATTCAGTTTAGGGAATCGGTTCGCTCGGCGAATTCGTTTCAGCGAGTTCATAGGGTCTCTCATTTTACGTGATGTCCTTTTACGTGGTGTTTTTGAGTAATTAAATAAATGTTACGATGCATAATTTGGATACGTCATTTATATGGTGTGCCTCAGTCTACCATATGAAGCAGATATGAAGTGATTTACAAACGCATTGCGAAACAGTTAAACTGAATAAAAAAGAATCGGTTCGACAGAACGATTCGTTCGCGAATCGAACATCACAAAAACACAAAGGTATCGGATGAACAGCCAGTGTTGTGCTGCGGGTGTATCAGATGGGGGATGGTCAGTCAAGAGACCCACGTTACATATTAATGAGCACCATACTAAGATCAACGGATAGGTGACCAATGCAACAATACATATTTTGTTTATATATTAGGCCTATATGAATTATTCCACATTCTTGTGAAACACATAACTGATTATGGTTCAATTAAACTCTATAGCCATTAACCAAAAAGTCCCAAAACAACTGGTACTATTATGGTATTTGGGATGTTTTAACAACAACAAAAAAGTACTGTGGCAGTACCATGGTACAGTTGTGTCACTGATAGCCTATATGTACAGTGGTATTCATTTACATGGTATATTAGGGTTTATTTTTGCCACCTATTGGTGACACATTGCTAATGCATTTACTCTGGCTTCAATGTGTTGTTGGGGGCAGCGGTGTCATACTGCAGTAAAACAAAATATTTGACGATGTCATAATATTTAACACAATATTCATGAGCTGCTTTGTATTTTTGACATGCACTCTTTAAAAAAGTTGATTTCAAACCTGTACGAGCACCTCTTGTACAGTAAATGTGCACTAACTGGCAAATCTGCTCCTAAATGTAATATTACATGAAAGAAATTTGCCTGCAAACACAGGTGGTCCGTGCATGAAAGCAGATGGAGGTGTTGCAATGTTAACTTCTCTATTTGTTGGCACAGGTACAACAATCAAAGCTCCTGTAAGGTTCATTCCCAAAAGTCCACAAACCTCCGGCACTAAACACATCACAGCCTCGCAACACAGATGGAAAAACAGGAAAACGCTGTTCGCTGCCAGAGAAATGTGCTGAGCACTGAAATATTAACCAATACATTTATTAACCAATACATTTATTAACCAATTCATTTATAACGCATCCAGTCAAGATGAGTTTTGTTTTAGCAATTGGATGGAGCCATTGCAATTGAAATGTCCCCTAATAAATCCAATGCCACATCCGAAGCTGAAACTTCATGAAACTTTTCTAAAGAGTTTAAATTTAACTGTCTCAAAATCAGTATTTGATCTCTCTCATAGACGTATACTTTCAAAGGTCAACCTATAACACCTTGTACCAGAGCAAGTACCTCTAGAATCAGCTTGAGAAAACTTTTAGAAATAGTCAGTACCATAATAACAAGCAAATGAATCAATTAAGTGCCATTATTGAGAACGAGGTCAAAGGTCGCTTGCCATACACAACTACCAGACTCTACCTTCATTGTTAAATTGCATGCTTACTTCTCATGTATGAAGGATGTGGATGCCCTCTATGTTACTACAGCGATCTTGAGGTATAAAGAGTAAAGGAAAAGAGTAATATCCTTTAGCATTCAACTGACTGTACTTGATGTCACAACAGGACAGTATTTATGGTCAAAACAGGCGATGCCTGGTCACTGTTTTACATGCATACAATGAATAAGGACTGACCGAGGACATCCAATGTATTTCTTATACAAATACCATATGTATATATATATATATATATATATATATAGTGTATGTATACTCTAAAAAAGTAATTATATACTATAATTACATATTATATAATTATGCTATACTAATTATATATTCACCAGTGTAATTAGATAATTACTCTTTCTAAAAATAATTGAATTACTTATTACTAATTACTTTCTAAATCCCAATGACCAGTTAACCAATACAAGGATAGACATGAAACAGCTCTTTTGATTCTTTGAAATAAACAATATACAATTAAGTGCATAAATTATTCTTGAACTGAGCAAACTGTGTAAAGCGAGAAGTATGTATATATATATACAGTATATATATATATATATATATATATATATATATACACTGTAAAAAAAATCTGTAGAAATTACAGTATTACTGGCAGCTGCTTGCCAGTAACTTACTGTAGTTTTAAATTGATGTTATTTACTGGCAACAGTTTGTTCAAAGTTAAATCAACATTAAACATTAACAAGTCTTTATCTTTACAGAATAAAACTAAAATAACAGCCTCATGCAAAGCATTCTGGGAACCAAAATCTGAAGGGAAAAAAAAAACAGAAAAAGGTTGATGAAGATTTCTGGTTCCCAGAATGCTTTGCATTAGATTGTTATTTTATAATTTTATTCTGTAAAGACAAAGACTTGTTAATGTTTAATGTTCATTTAACTTTGAACAAACTGTTGCCAGTAAATGTACATCAATCTAAATCTACAGTAAGTTACTGGCAAACAGCTGCATAACTACAGCAATTTTTTTTACAGTGTACACATAGGCTACTTATCTCTTTATACCCACATTGATCAGTTCATTTGGTCATATATAAGCTATACTGTATATCTGCAACCCCAAATCAAGAAAAATTTAGACACTTTGTCAAATGTAATAAAATCAAGAATCTGTGATTTGTTAATTCTCTTCCAACTTTATTTAACTGGCAAAAGTACAAAGAAAATATTTCCAGTGTTTTCACTGAACAACTTAATTGTATTTTGTAAATATAAACAATTTTTGATGGCTGCTGCAACACACTCCAAAAAATTGGGCAGGAGGCAAAATAAAAGTGTAAAGCTCAGAATATCCAAGTTAAACTCTTTTGAAAGAGTCCACAATGAGCAGGTGAGAGGGTAATAGGTGAGGGGATCGAGACTGGGTGTAAAGGAGCATCTCTCTCTCTGCAAGCAAAGATAGGTCATTGCTCACCACTTTGTTAATTACATGAAAAGGAGAATCAGACAACGACGGCCATGGACTGTGGAGCAGCTGTCTTTATCAGGTGAGATTGGGGGGAAAGTCCACTTGCAAAACTGTAACAAATAGTATCCTCAATTCCCAAACTATTAAAAAGTGTAATTAAAAGGAAAGGTGATGTGACACATGGTAAACTCCCAACTTTTCAAAATTTGATTATATTTACAAAATACAATTAAGTTGTTCAGTGAAAACATTGGAAATATCTTCTTTGTAGAATTAAAAAATATCACAAATTCCTGATTTTATTGCATCTTTCAAAATGTCCCAATTTATATGTAGGCTAGGCTACTGTAGCTACATAGGCCTACAGTGTATATGCCTACACACACACACACACACACACACGACCACACAGGTGAACGTGACTTCGCCAAGTACCACATGTTCCTGGATCAACATCTTTGTTGATCCTGGATCAACTTTCCAATCAACCAATCAGATTTGAGGGACAAGTTTACAGTTTATGTCAAGTTTAGGCTTAGAACCAGAGTGAAGTAGGCCTACTTCAACATCAGTGTTATTCACCTTTCATTACCCTCTGATTTTAGGGAAAAGTTATGGGTAGGGTTAGGTTTAGGGGTAGGGATTAGGTAAGGACTACATTTTGGGACAGGAATGTTGATCCAGGACCATGTCTTAGCCTACTTGGCAAAATCACGGTGACCCACACACACACATTTGTCTATTTTATACGATTTGTCGAGTTAATGCGATCTCCAGTCCACTAGCGGGAGCTTCGCGCTTCTCATGTGACTGCATAAAGCGCGGCGAAACAATACAGGAAGAACAGCTGATGACGTTCTTTCCGGCTCCGGTCTCTCAGCAAGAGTAAAGGTAGGCCGAAACAAGGGCCGAAAATCCGTTCAAAATCTTCATCATCTTATTATTTAATGTGTCGTTTCAAGCGAATTCGCTTTCAATAAACCCCCTATAATGAATATATCTTAGTCTTGAGGAAATATGCGGTGGGGAAATGCTATATTTAAGTCAGGATAATGTCCCTGTCTTGTATGCTACAGCGCGAGAGTGTTTCACGGCTGGTGTGAAGTCAATACAGTAACATGAGATGAGAAAATATCATTGAATAAAAGATTTATTGGAGGTGTTTAAGAAAATAAGTCATTTAAATGCCAAAACCTTCTTGAAAACTGAATGTGAATACGTCAAGGCGTTTCTCATAAGAGTCGCGCAGAATGTTATCTCTGATAAAAATTACCACACTATTGCCATGTTTTTCTCTTTTAGCCATGGTACTAACATGTACATATATACTTGAATATGGTAGTGGTTTGATACCATGGTATTACCATCACTACTACAGCAGTACGCACTTGTGTGGCTCTTCGTTGATTTAGTGTTGTAATTGATGGTAAAAGCAGGGTGTTTTGAACAAATACCATGGTTCTGTTTGACATTTATATTGTGTAAATGATACTGTCAGATATACCATTCAATTGTATATACCAGATATAGATATACCAAAGAATACAATGGTGTTTATGGCCAATCTAGGGTCTCAAATGTTGGCTCTTTACAGTTGCTCTAAAGGTGTGTGTTAACATACTGATAAAATATACTTTGAAGGCAATACAAGGCACATAAAACCGTCTGCCAAATGCATTAAAATGTAAATATCATAATATATGAAAGATCATGATTGTGTTTTTCTTTCTGCAGATGTTGATGCCCAAGAAGAACCGTATTGCTATCTATGAGCTCCTCTTTAAAGAGGGCGTCATGGTGGCCAAAAAAGATGTGCATCTCCCAAAACATCCAGAGCTCGCCGACAAGAACGTACCCAACCTTCACGTGATGAAGGCTATGCAGGTGAGGGCTTCTGACCATCATTCTTAACCTGGTTATGCTTAATGATCATGTAAATGCGTTTACCCCTTTTTCTTTATCGGAGTTAGGTTGGTCATAAACGGCTTAAGCATAAACTGATATGTACAGTTACATTTTTGCCCGTTACACCGGTTTCGCCCAGCTTGTAAACTTATTGAATTGCGCATGTATGATATGTGACTGAAACGCGTCCTTACTGTACGTTCACACCGCCACCGACTTGAGCGGCAAAGAAGCTCTGGCCGCCCTGTCAAGGACGCTTGTCAAAAAGTACGGGGAAGCTTGTTGACGCTTTGAACGCTCTGACGTTGCAGGGAGAATAGAAGTGTCACAACATAAAATGTAATAAACAGAAAAAAAACAAGCAATACATTGAAGAAACCTTTTATAATGACAGCATTTTTATAACCGTTTTGGTCACATTTGGTCGGGGAAAAAAGAATAGTTAGCTATTATTATTTGCGGTCAAATCGGTGTCACCGTGAGCAAATGAATTGCATGCCCGCTTTAAAACGAGCGTTCGTAAATATTTCAAATAAAAGTTGCGCTCATGCGGTCCCTATAAGCAAACAACGTCATGTCATAAATGTTAGGAAACCCAGCATTGGCGATTATTAGCTTCTCTTCCATTTTCTCGGAACTAATGTTTTGGTAGGAACGAAAGTTTACATCGTATGTTTCTCCGGAATCAGCCAGCGCGAAGGACGTCTATTTTCCGATTGGTTGCTGGCGCTTTGCCGCTGAACCGCATCACAGCTCATTACCATAAAGTTGAGCTGCTTTCAACTTTATGATTGACGCTCAAAACGCGACGCCGATGGATTTGACGCTCCTTGCAGCTGAGAAAAGCCAGCTTCCATTGAAAATGAATGACTTCCGGCCGCTTTGGAAGCTCAAGTCGGCGGCGGTGTGAACGTACAGTTACTGTGTATTTTGAGCGCATCCAGACAGAGCGAGCATTTTGCAGCAGGGGAGGAGGAAATATATCGCAAAATCAGACTCTTGTCTTATATAAGTGAGTCTGAAAGTAAGTGCTCTCGTCTCGTGCATCTGTAATGAGAGGATAATAGATGAGCTGTACGTTTCCCTCTGACATGTAGCAATGCTCTTAACTTCTAATGCTTTATTTAACATCACTACTGACTTAAATACTCTGAGTCAAATACGCAAATTATTAAGTCTTGACGTCACTATCGGGAAATAACCTGATTTATTAATAAAGCCTTGTAAACGCACTTTACTTCCGTTGTTGGTTTATTGGTTTTCATGTAAACCTGGACAACAGGTTATTTCAATAAGCTGATTTGAGTTATCAGCGTGCTTGTGTGGATGTAAACATCCTCATTAATAATCCAATCAATGACACTGTGAATGTATATTGAAATGCCTCTGCCTTCCCAGTCTCTGAAGTCATGTGGGTACGTGAAAGAGCAGTTTGCTTGGCGCCACTTCTACTGGTACCTGACCAATGAGGGCATCCAGTACCTGCGGGACTTCCTCCACCTGCCCCCGGAGATCGTGCCCGCCACCCTCCGCCGCCAGACCCGCCCAGAGACCGCCAGACCCCGTCCCAAGGGTAAGAGTGCCATCTTCCTCACATAAAAGCACTTCAAATTGAACCCTTCATGATGTGTTTTCAATGCAATTTTTGTAGAATTTCAACATCTGTTCCATTCATAGTGAACATTTTCAGGACCAAAAAATTTAGTTCATATAACTAATAAAACAATAATAATAATCAGTACTACTAGAAAACTGATTTGACTTGAATATAGTGCATTGACTACTTGATGTGAAGTGCATCTAAAAAGTTCTTCAAAAATTGTCCTAAAACAAGAACGGGTATTGTTCAAAATTCATGTATAACTTTGAAAGGTTTTGATCCACTTCAAATGTTGACTAGTGTATTTGTAGCGTGGCCTATACGTGGTTGTGTGCTTAATCAAACATGCTGTGTTTTTCAGGTCTTGAGGGAGAGAGACCGGCTCGTCTGGCCCGTGGTGAGGGAGACAGAGATGCTTACAGACGGTCTGCAGCTCCACGTACGTACACGATACACACTGACTGTTGACATCAGCATATTCTTTAGCTGGGGCCTCGGCGTGCAGCATTGTGTTAAACTAAAACCTTTTGTCTTACAGCCGGTGCTGATAAGAAAGCTGAGGCTGGTGCAGGTGCAGCCACAGAATTCCAGTTTGTAAGTACTACTGTTTAAATACTATTTATAATGTAATTTCAGTGCATGACTCTGGAAGTTGTGACGCTCACTTTGTGCATGTGCTTCCTTTTGTTTTTTCAGAGAGGTGGTTTTGGCCGTGGCCGAGGAGGACAGCAGCCACAGTGATTTTCCACATTATCTGTACAATAAAGTTTCAAAAGTACTTTTGTGTCAGACTTGTTCATATATTGGTTGCTGGTACTTGTGCATTCAATGCAATGTATCTGATGGTTTAAATTTCTTACCAGCTTCCTGTGTTTTGGGCCCATTTTCCAGGAAAGAACCTGTCAACGCACTTGTGTATTTATTTATATATACACTACCGTTCAAAAGTTGGGGGTCGGTACGATTTTAAATACTTTTAAAAGAATTCTCTTCTGCTAACCATGGCTGCGCTTATTTGATTAAAAATACAACAAAAATCAGTTATAGTATTAAATATTATTCCAGTGTAAATCAGCTGTTTTCTTTGTGAATATATAGTAACGTGTAATTTATTCCTGTGATCAAAGCTGAATTTTCAGCATCACCAGTGTCAAATGATCCTTCACAAATCAGTATAATATGAGGATTTGATGCTCAAGAAACATTTATTATTATTATCAATGTTGAAACGGTTGTTGGTCTGTCAGTTGTACAGTTTTTTTTTTTAGGATTCTTTGATGAATAGGAAGTTCAAAAGAACAGCATTTGTTTGAAATAGAATCTTTTGTAACATTAAAAATTTATTTACGGTCCTTGATAAATAAAAGTATTGATTTCTTTCCTCCAAAAAATAAAAATAAAATTCTCACTGACCCCAAACTTGAACGGTAGTGTATATATATTAGTTTTATATATATGCACACAGTTGTATACAGGGGTGTGTATATACATTCTGATCATTTATATGTTATGCATCATGTATATCTATGTGCAGAGTTGTACACGTGAATGTGTATATATATATATATTCTAATTATACAGTAGTCAACATTTGAAGTGGATCAAATCCTTTCATCAAAGTTATACATGAATTTTAAACAATACCCATTTTTGTCTTAGGACAACTTTTTTGACCCACTTCAAATGTTGAATATTCTGCACCACATGTAATATTGCCACTTGACCTTTCAAAACTTTCAATTTAATGTTCAGTGCAGCATGCTAAATCATTACAAATGTGACTTTTGAGGGGACAAACTCACTGAAACATTGAGGTGAAATACTGGTGTTTATTAGTTGGCACATTTATATTACATTCTCATACTGGTTGATTTCACAATCCCAAAACGAAAAAGCAAAATATTCCAGTGAAGGGTACAGCTGTGGAACTAAAAACAGTCACAGCTTCTCTTGGAGCGTTGGGAGATTTCAGTCGTAATTACAACATCCCAATTACCAATTACTTCACGTATACCAGGGCGAACTCTTTGCGTGGCCAAATAAAATGCAATCTACCAACGCTTACATTCAGAGTCACGAGCAGGGCAAATTTAAGGTGCTTTCCGTGAGATTTTCGTCAAGGATATGGGTATTTCAGATGGTTGGTTTTACACTTGAAATGCAGTAAAGATCTCACATCCTTGTGTAGTATGAGAGTGCTCAGAGAAGGGCAGTCACAGCACTGTTGTTGGCTACATAAAGGTGGTTTGAACCATGTCAATGCTGCCACGTCCACTTAATAGTTGTTCTTTTATATGCTGTTGTGCCATTGAAAATGAGGGGTACATTAGTATGGCCGTCATCACATGTATCAATCAAAAAAACAATCCAGATTAAGTATTACATGCTACACTAAAAGTGAAAGAGAAAGACTTGACATCAGCTGCAAAACTGATGACATTAGTGTTGATGGATATTAATCAATCAAAGGCATGTAAACGTAAATCACTGAGAAAAAGGTGTTCATTCACTTGTTAAATCTTGGGTTCATTACTCACTTTGCAGTCAGACTAACATTACAAAGATGAAATCTTGAATCAGAAATGTACTTTATCAGGAACTTACATCATAAATGCACTTAAAACTCCTAAAGGAGCAAAACGATGCAGTTCAGACTCGAGGAAATAAAACTCCCAACCTAACTTGTACCATATCTATACATCGCAATGACAAGCACTCGAATTTGACGTTTTGCCTTTTAAGATCTGTACAGGAGCAATAAAAAGACATCAAAACATCTCTCTAACTACAGTGGCTCAAGATTCACAGTATTTTGCCAACCGCTGCTTTCCAAGCACTTTACAGAGCGGCTTCACGTATCTGACATTTCAAAAGAAGAGAAGATGTTGAAACGTTTTTACATACTAAAACATCTGTTCTCTCAATGTCAAGCGGTTGATGAGTTGTGGATGTGGTCACTTCTAAAAGAGGTTAAAACAACCAGAAACCTCAAAAGGCCAGAAAACAGACCAAGTCACCATAATATTAATGGCCAAATCTTCTAATGGAAAATGAAACAATTTCAGGGGGTCTACTGAAGATCGAGATACTCCAAAACATGATGTGAAATATGTCCTGTACGTATATGCTGCTAGTGCAGACTAGAGATAGTTCTGTACATGCACATCGCATTAAACTAAAAAATAATAAACTATATAAACATCTTCATTCCAATAGCTCTTTAGGTGTCATTTGAGAGCCGTTGCGGTATTAACAAAATAGCTAAAATGAACACAAAACCATTTTACTTCCTTAATGTGATGCATTTCAGAGCCACTTTTTTCCCCTTGGAATAACATGAACTGAAATGAATCATGCTCAATAATTCATGAAGCACATTAAAAAAGTAAAAAGAATCTATTTTGATTTCATGTGGTTCATAAAGATTTTGGAAATTGCCAGGTAACGTTACAATAAAAAATAAAAAAACTTCCCCCCAAAAAAGATTGCATTAGAAATTGAAATTGTGTGTAGTGGGAGGATTTCATTGCCCAATTTATCTACTGGTGCACTTCTTAAATTCAACATGGTATGCACAACCCATTTTACTTCCATATGGTAAGGCAAATAAATAAATCTGTGATTGGAGTAATTGGACCATGAAAAGTGTGTTTCATACCAGAATGGGTTTGCAGTCGAATTGTGCCGGCACAATATGGTGCCCTGATGAAACCAGCCAAGAGTATTAAAAAGTAAATCGAGTCAATTTTGTTTCCATGCTCACTTTAAAAAGTGCTACAGCAGCACAACGACAACCTGCCAAATCATACCATTATATCACAGTTTGCTTAAAGGGGAAGTGTTTCGTTTCTGCATCAATAGCGGCACCAAACAGAATTGCAAAAATAAAGTCTGAACAATTCAGTTGCAATTAATTGGTGCTGCTAACGGCACAAAACCACACACTTTACACACAGGATTCATCAGCTGGTTGGAAAAAAAGTTCTAAATTAAAAAAAAAGTGCGCATGTAGAATTACTCTCCAGTCTAATCAGGTACTAGAATAAATTAAATGTGTTTTTTTGGAGGCCCATAAGTTATTTACAAGATGGCAAGACAAAAAAAAAAAGGTTAAGTTAAGAGCAACAATTTAACACGAAGTACAGGTTAAACATTCATCGCATCACACAAACTCATAAGACAAATAAATACCAGTGTTCATGCAAAACTATCAAGTTCACACAGTTCCACCATTCAGACGACTAAACGCTTCCCCTCGCAACCGCGATAATAGAACTAACGAAAAGCTTGTTCACACACACACATACGCACGCAGAGGAAATCCAATGTGTAAAAATACTGAAAGCCACATGCTCACGCACCATGTGTATATTTTTACATCACAACAGTAAAAAGTAGTTCTTGCATTCGTTTAATCGCACACTCGGGCCGCACGGAGGGCGCTAAAGGGACGTGGGTTTCATGCAACAGTCCGCATGAAAGGAGAACTAAACAGGGAAAAGCAAAAGTGTTACATTTACAAAACATCCTTTCGCATATTCAACCAACACCTGATGCCTTTGCCACCTTCTTGGCGCTCAAAAAGCCTTGGCAAACCATTGTTTTTTGTGTCTTTTAAAGAAAAAGAATCCAAATAAAAACAGAATAATGAAATTAAGAGCAAGAGTGGTGGAAGCATCCGGAGTGTCTGTGTTTTGCATTAGTTATCTGATATCGGAGACGGAGCTCTGATTAATGCTGTAGGTGGGCGACGTGTCTTCTCCTATCGTGGCCACCAGGGGCGTCCCGTTACTGTTCAGACAGCCTTCCCGTAGAGCCGTGAAGTAAGTGGCCTGTACTGGTTTGTGACACTGCAATACTTCCATGGCATCGTCAATTTTGAACCATTCCCTTTTTCTCCCTGTCAAAACAAAAACGACAAGCAGTTGTTATGAGCCAAACGGGTCGATTGCGATGCAACTGTGTGTGCGGCAATCACAAACTTTGGATTTCAGGACCTTTTAATGTTTTACACACTTGTAAATCTCACACTAGCCGCGTTTCCACTGCCGGGCCAGGGCTAACCGCGAGCCGAGCCGAGCCGAGCCAGTGGCCTCGGGCCTCAAGCACGGGCTTGCGTTTCCACTGCCGGGCCAGTAGCCCCGCAGCGCTGCCCTAAACCCCGCCCCTAACACGCCTTTCGGGATCAAACGTCACACAACCCAACCCATTTCAGCGGGTATTATGAATTTATTTATTTTTTAAGTTAGGAAGATAGCATGTATATTTAGGCTCAATCCCAATTCACCCCTTGGCCCTACCCCTTGTTTTCGAGTGTACCCCTTGGCCCTTAAAACAGAGTTACAAGGCCCAAGGGGTTGAAATATTCCCCTACGAAATGGAACAACCCTTCATGAACCCGATACGTCATCAGTCGTCGGCGTCTCGGCGATGGCTCTGCCGTTACGGAGTTTTTACAGGATTTCTTCATGACAACGACTGACAATCAGCGCAGCTGCTCTTAACTTTGAGGAAACATGATGCTTATAACGTTCCTTCCTCGAAATGTATGTCTTTTCTGTTTCGGAAAGCTAATTTATTATACAATTTCTTAATTTAAATGACTATATCATTATTATAAGAGTAAATAAAGTGCACGGTGGTGTCATCTGGCGCTAAATTTAGGGTGCTTTCACACCTGGATCGATTTGTTTTGTTCCGGAACAGATCCGAAACAGAATACTTTGTTCCGAATCAATTTAATACGTCACTCTGTTCACACCACACTGTTGTAAAGCGGTCCAAATCGCACACCCTTCCAGGGCTTTCCTTACGCCTTTTCATCACTACCTTATGTGTTCAGCTCGCGCATTCCATTGTGGGACATCGCCATGACAACAGTAGCCTAACACAAAATGAATCGCGGGTTGACTTGGTGCTACGAAGAGGTGAAATGCCTCATAGATATTTGGTCGGAAGAACACATCTCCCGGATATTGGACACTACACACAAGAACACCGAAGTGTGCAAGAAGATCAGCTATAAAATGAAAGAGAGGGGTTATGAGCGGTCCGTCGAGCAGTGCCGCGCAAAGGCGAAAAAACTCCGACAGCAGTACATAAAGGTACGAGACCACCTTGCTTATTGATTTGTTCCGGTTCGTGGGTCGGTTGTGTTCTCACTACAAACGAACCGCTCCAGGGTTTGTATGGAATCGAGCCGAGACCACCTCTTCTAGGCGGTCTCGGCTCGGTTGTTTTGTTCCGATTCAGAGTGCGATTGTTGTGTTCACATATGACCAAACGAACCGGGCCAAAAGGGAAACGCCCCTTTGTTTCGGAACAACGTCTCCAATCGATCCAGGTGTGAAAGCACCCTTAAATGTTTAACCGTTTGCGAAGCCATCTCGCCGGTGATGCGCGATGCATTCTGCGAACTTTCTCGAAGCCCTCCGTTTGGAGTGTGCCTCTGAAAAATCTCCGTTTCGAGGGCTATGTAGCCCTACCCCTCGATCTCAACAAGAATCGGGACACCCTACCCCTTGACGTGAACGCGCAAAACGGAGGGGTAGGGCCAAGGGGTGAATTGGGATTGAGCCTAACTCACCGGCCGTGGCCGCAGCCTGCAATAGTGTCCAGATTGTCTCGCGAGTCGCCACTAACAGAGGGACGGTGACCCCCATCAAGTCCAACCATGGAATTTGGAAAGTTCCTTCTCTGAGCTCCGCTTTGTCCATTGTGCGTTTGAATCGCCTTGTACAATACTGCGCCCGCAACTTTTTTTTTTTCCTGAACTTGAAGCGTTGCTCGCTGAATGATTAGCTTAGAAAGTTCAGCATCGATGTTAGGGCTGCACGATTTGGGGAAAATGTCATATTGCGATTATTGAGGTCAATATTGCGATAGCGATATAATAAACAAATGGTTTCATGAGTCAACTTGCTGCTTGGTTCTAAAGCAAAATGCACACACAGATTAGTGATAATTCTGAAATGTGTATTTCTCAACTTAAACTAGCAACAACAACTAAATGATTGATAACACCTATAATGATCAATAAGCCATTGATGTCTGGATAAAAATTTATTTAATTTTAATTTAAGTGAACTTCAAACAATCCTCACATAAACCCATAATAAATGTCATATTTACCTGTGCTCTTCCAGTCTAACGGGTAGGACATATACAGAAATTGAATAAAGTTATCAAACAGTCTGCGCTGCATAAATGATAAATTATAATGACTAAAATCCTATTTAAAGCTACACAAGTTCTTTGGTCAAGAGCAGCGAGTGTTTTTCTCTGTTCCCTTTGTTCTTTGATTAACTTTACTGACAGAGAGCATTATTGGATGCGGGCCCTTTAAGAGTTGCTGACAGAGACGCGGATCTCACACGCGCCTTATTCTCTCACAACTCTTTATGACCATCATAAGACTGCTCTTATGTTATGAAGACACTCGACAAATTATATTTTGGCATAATTGTGTGTGTTACAGTTCGCTCACTTCAAGCGGAAAGAGAACTGTATTCTGGCGCGCGGTCTGTACTTGCGCATGATACTGGCGCGCGTCCGTCTTTCAGTCAGGACAGTCACAGGCAGCGCGCTCTCTTTCGATGGTTTAAAGCATTCGCATGAATAAGAGCGGGATCATGTAACACTAGCCAAAGGATGACAAAAAATAACAGATGCTGCGTTAACAGCCCAAATTTGTTTATTTCATGTAAAATCGCAGTATTTTGCGTCATATAATCGCATAGGCTTGACATCGCGATTACGATTGCGATATGATTAATCGTGCAGCACTAATCGATGTATTTTATAACGTCTTTGTTTCTTCACACGCCGTCAAATTGACGTTGTACCCTTTCTTCTGCCCAAATGCTCAGAAGAGCTTTGGTATCTTCGACAGACCAGTACAGGCGATTCTCCATTTCGAGCAGCGATTATTTTGCGCGATATAACAAAGTGAAATGTGCATCTTGCTTCAGATCTTAACGTTCCATAACACCAATAAACTCCGCCTTTTACCTTGAGCACGCCTCTAGCCCGAGCTGGCCCGCTTTGGCCCAAGGTATTCGACGGGCCAGAAATCCTGGCCGTTGGCCCCGAGTAAGCCCCGGAAGTGACAGTGGAAACGCGGCTAATGATATTATTTAGAATTGGGTATTATTCTGATGAGATCTACATCATGTAAACGTTGCGTAAACATTGCCACGTGTCTGTGTTAATCTGATTTATGTGTCATGTGCGCAATTTATTCATTATATACACTGAATTTTGTATACATACAGTATATACAAAAAATTGTGGATGCTGGATAGTGGATTATTCGGAAGTACTTACCAATGTTTACTGAATCCTCCCAATCTTCCAGAACTTCGGTTACAATGAGAACGTACACATACGTTCTGTGTTTCCTATCTCGATTCTGAGTATAAAACAAAAAGTTAAAATAGTTAAGACAAGCAGCACAACATTTGAAATGCTTACCAATAATCAGCTTTTATAGAAAACCATGCTTTTCTCATAATAGTTGTACTTACCTCAAATATTCCTACTAGTCTTCCTAAAGTGCCCTTGACACCAGCCTATAAAACAATGAATGGATGAAACTGAAACATTGCGGGTTTGTTTTGTCGTTATAATGAGGTCAGGTCCTGTGTGGGATTTGATAGCTGATATGTTTTCGGAGACAGAGTTTGTTTTGATCTAGTGAGCAGGAACATGAAGGCAGTGACAGTCTACACCCGTCCGGAGTGATAGCGATCCATCATGACGCTCTTTAGGCCAAATGTCATGTACACAACATGGCGGTTGACCTCAACTTGAGTAGTTGATTGTCGTTAAACATGGTCTAAATTTAGTCCTGATTATACAGCGGTGGTCCAAAAGTAGAAGACCACTAGTGAAAATGCTATTGCTTTTTGCATTTTTCTTTCAAATTTAATACACACTACCGTTCATTTTTTTTTTTTAGAGAAGTCTCTTATGTTCACCAAATCTGCACTAATTTGATTTAAAAAAATATATATATTATTACAATTTAAAATAACTGTTTTCTATTTGAATATAACTTAAAATGTAATTTATTCCTGTGATCAAATCTGAATTTTCAGCATCATTACTCCAGTCTTCAGTGTCACATGATCCTTCAGAAATCATTCTAATATGCTGATTTGCTGCTCAAGAAACATTTATTATTATTATCAATGTTGAAAACAACCATATTTTTTTTTAAAACAGTCATTTTTTTCAGGATACTTTCAAAAGAACAGCATCCTATAAATCTTTTGTGACATTATAAATGTCTTTACTGTCACTTTTGATCATCCTTTCTAAATAATAAGTATGAATTTTTCTCTCTCAAAAATAAACAAATCTTATTGACCCCAAATTGACCCTTCTGAAAGATAGTGTATTGTTTTATTATAACCAATGATATAATCAGGAGAACAATGTGAGGTTTGTCTCTTTTGCTTGACACTCAGGAAACCTGAAACTCGTAATTTGAGTGAATCTTAAGCTTCAACGTAAGCAAGAACATCTGACCGTCTGTGCAAAGTCACATGACCAATAACACTAATTTACTTGCATTTGATTAGTCACCTAGAAAGGGAGAATCTGAAATATTCTATTCTAATTTAACATTCTAACATTTCATTTTTCATGTGGTCACAGACGTCAGGACAATCCCCCAGAATGCAGTTGGCTTTGTGTCATGGTACGTTTATAGTCCACGGTCACTCTTGGCTACTGTCTGGCAGTCGAGGTGTGAAGAGCAGCTCTTAATCTGAGTGTAATGCCCTTTAAAACTGTAAGGCGATCGTCCCGGCAGAATGAGCAGCATGTTCACCGTCTGTCAGATGGCAGATCTCAGCTGATGGAACATTATCACTTCTCTTAATGAGAAACCCCATAGGTTAAATGTCAGGAGAGCAAAAACCTAGAGTTTCCATGTTTGCACAATGGATCAAGTCAAAAATATACGCCAGAGCATCCGAGTTAATACAGTTATTGTTAGTAATGATAGACTAAGGCTATGTTCAGACTGCAGGCAAATCAGATTTTTTCTCAAATCAGATCTTTTCTATGGGATGATTATAGTATCAAAATGATTAACACGTGCAAGCACACTTATCAATGAACTTGATACATGTTGCAGAAATGTTTTATCCATGCCTTTCAACTTGCGTGTGCAAAATTCAAAATTGAATGAATGTGAAGCAATTTGTACAAATAGAGACATTTTTGTGAATACAAATGTTTTCCTTTGTATTAGTGTATCATAATTTGCACATGCAACACAGAAGACGTGCATGTGTGGATCAGGTGACGCGCGTGCATTCTACACAAGTTTATGAGCCGTTTCCGCTCTACATCCTAAACTCCTCCCGTCGATGCAACCCACTTCCGTTCTGGCGGTCTGGGTTTGTTTTGCTAGCTAGCTTCGACAAAGCGCTGATATCGCAGTGACATAACAATTACAACATGAAGAAAGGTGGTTCGGGAACGATGTGTGTGATAGTTGGTTGTAAACACTCGAGAAAGCACCTGAACGAGTGGTTAGATAGAGAGTTCTACGACCGCAAACCAGCTACGAAGAGGTCCATGCGCTCCATTGTTTACACACAAACACACTCACACAGTATCGCGCCCGCGCCTCTCTCTCACACACAGTTCGATCGCCTAATTATTATCATCATGGCTCACACACACACACACACACACACACACTTTGCACTCTAGCTAAGAAGCCTATGATATAGTTCGGATCGTCAGGAGGACATTCACTGACAGCGCGTTCTCTTTTGTCTTGTCGCGCATGAGTGGTTAAAGCATTTGCGTGAATAAGAGAATGGTCATAACCCTAGCAAAAGGATGACAGAAAGAACAGATGTTGCGTTTGCATTAAATATTTTAACACGTTAAAGCTGGACAAAAATGAATCGGGAAAATATTTTTCTCACGGCCGCACGCCGGAGATCCGGCACGGTGGCGAAAAGTGATTGCATTATTTATTGCAATAAGTAGAGGCTTCAATCGTTTTGTTGTAAGTAGAATAGGCTACTGCATTTTAAGGGGTTAGTTTCGACATTTAAAGGTATTTTAACCGGTAAAATGGTTGGTTGGTACACAGCAGGTAAAACAATGCAGAGTCATAAGGATAATTGCAAAAGAGATCATGTCTTTATTTATAGCTCAGCAGTAAGTCATGTTATAGGTTACAGTCCGTTTTCCAAATACAAACACGTATTCCATCCGCAACAACATGCTTCTTTTATTTCCTATAATCATGTAAATGTCTTCCCTGATTAAGCTATAAACTGCAAACACTTATTTAGCCACAATTGTTGTTATTATGTTAAAAGAAACATTAAAGTAACACACAGATACATTTGCTATTACCACGGACATAAACTGATAGTTATTTGCACGTTATGTCTGTTTTATCTAGCTGTGTATGACATGACACAACCGACTTTGTTGCTGTGCAGATATTGATATGCCTCGACGGCTTTCAGATTGTCCAATTGCTTTTCCATCTATTGCCATGGATTGCACGAAGTAGGAGCAAATCTCGCTGTACGTTATGCTGGGCCACGTCGTCATGTTAGTGTTCTGCACTGAATTCGGGTGGGGGATAGTAACGCCATCTCCAGTCGTGGAACCGTCGCTGTGTACACCGGCAGACGCTGTGTGCAAACCTCTTCCGGCGGAAATGAAGTGCATTTAAGTAGAGTTATGGCGGCGCCCATGATTTGGCGCGTAAACTTGTGTATTTGATTCATTTAGATTTTGAGACTTTCATTTCGCGGGTTTCGCCTTGCACGATCCACACACAGCTGTCTGAGAAAAGCTGCTACCACTAGATGGCAGTATTCTGCTAAAACAGACAACGGCCGCATAAAGCCTTGTTTATACTCGACGCGTCCGCAAGAGCGCGAGTCTCCGCTGACTGCGCGCGCACCTCTCCAAACGGACGAGGCGTTTATACTTGACGCGCTCGCCGTTGTGCTATTCTGTGAAACGACAGGGGGCGACTCGGAGTAATTCTCTTCTAAACCACCAGGAATCAGCAGTGAAGAAGTAGTTTGCCGTTTATTAGTAGTTTATTAATTGCTGATTCATATAAAAATAGTATTAAATGCAGTAGGTTTATTGTACTTTCACTGCATGTAAACTAAACAACTGAAGCCTTATTGAAGAGTGTTTAAACCTTAATTTCATCAGCAGGGCTTACTTCTGCTATTGTAGGCTTATTTTCTAAATGTAAGCAGTTACTTTAGACAAGTGCAAACTGGGTGCTTAATGCAAATGTGTTCCTATTCACAAAATGAAAGGCTTTTATGGTCGCCCATCAATGCAAATGTCTCTGTATATAGAAGGACCATAAACATGCTGATACAGACGTACCAGTTCGGCCAGATTCGGCTCGAAGTCGTTCATCTTCGGATGCGGCGCCGCGCGCGATGTTATAAAAAGTGCCGTGCACACCGCCAGGCGAAATGGGGTCTTGCGCACCCAACGCGCACGACCGCCCACACCGCAATGACGTCATTTTTGCCGCGCGCACCTTCGCGCTCTTGCGGACGCGTCGAGTATAAACAAGGCTTAATCAAGCGTTCTTCCGCATTTAAGACGCTTAGTGAGAGTGATATTGAAGCACCAAATTTAGTACACAATAATATAGGCCTACCCTATTAATAAAGCATACTTTATAGAGGCAAACATTACGTCAGATTATGAACAACACCCATAGAAAACCATTATAAAACGCTTAACGTGCAATCGCGCGTTGCATGTTCAGTAAGGTGTATTGGCTACTGAGTTTAAATATCACCGTCTTACTGCATTGACGTTAAGCTTTTTCTTTATAATATGCTCTATGGGAGGAAAACTATATAGCCTACAGACAAGAGACTACATGAACGCAATGTGCGCGTTTCAAGTTAATAACATTTCCTTCCCGAGCCTGTTAAAAAGAAAAAGCTTAACATGAAATAAAAATTCTGCAGTTGCGTTTAACTTTGCATGTGAATGGGAGAGCAACCGGTCCGAGAGCGCAGTGAAGTAAGTTTTAGGTTTGATATTCGCCTCATTTTATAAAGGGACCATCTGCAAACTCCACTCACAGTCAAAAAAATATAAACGTCCAGTCATTCATTCAAATGAACATATTTCCAAGGTTATATTATAACCTTCTATTGCTATATATTATAATTTCCAAGGTTATATTATAACCTTGGAAGTCTAGTGGGCAGACTGACTTAGCCTACTGTTACTGTACTATGTCCAGCCAATATCTCGATTGAACAGTAGCCTACAATTTTTTAATTTACTGTAAATGTTTTTTCTATTCATGTTCCAAAGGTTGTAGTACGTTCCTAGTGACAAGTCAGGTGAAATTTTACATTATTCACTTGTAGTAAGTCACCAAAAACCCGTTTGGTTAATTACAGTAATTTTTTTATAAAATAATAATTGTTTACTAAATAGGCTACATGAAGGGAGTTATTGGGGCAATTTCACCTGTAGTAAGCCAGTAGTCACTGAACATACTACAACCATTTTGAACATGAAAAAACCCTTTTGGTGAATTACAGTATTTTTCTGCAGAATACAGGCTACATGAAGGGAAGTATTGTCCAAATTTTACTTGTAAGTCAGTCTTACAGAAACCTTCTACGAGCTTTGGAATTTGAAAATGTCTGTTATTAAATTTAAAAAGTAATTTGAATTAAAACAAATTATACGTTTTAACCACTGATCTATATAGAATGACATTATAGATCAGTGGTTTTAACGCAGTTAGTGGAATTGGCAGACGTTCCCTTGTGCATCATGAGCTGTGGTTAGCGCGTCAAAGCATTCTCGTGTAGAAATATGCAGCTACTGGCCCGCTACGCCAGTTGATTTTCAATTAATATTTCATGTCGATATACAATGGTTGCATATTGTTAAAACTCATCGTGCTATAGTAAGACTAAGGGTCAAGGGAAAACAAATGTACTGCGAAAATCGTCTTTAATATTTAAAAACAGACATTTTCAAATTCCTGCTTGTATACTATGTACACAATGTGTAGTCAGATAAAAATAAGCATATAATATGAACGCAACTGCGAAATTTCACCTTTTTTTTAACAGGAAGGAAAATTGTATTAACTTGAAACGCCGTGCGTTGCGTTCATGTAGTCTCTTGTCTGTAGGCTATATAGTTTTCCTCCCATAGAGCATATTATAAAGAAAAAGCTTAACGTCAATGCAGTAAGACGGTGATATTTAAACTCAGTAGCCAATACACCTTACTGAACATGCAACGCGCGATTGCACGTTAAGCGTTTTATAATGGTTTTCTATGGGTGTTGTTCATAATCTGACGTAATGTTTGCCTCTATAAAGTATGCTTTATTAATAGGGTAGGCCTATATTATTGTGTACTAAATTTGGTGCTTCAATATCACTCTCATTAAGCGTCTTAAATGCGGAAGAACGCTTGATCATGCGGCCGTTGTCTGTTTTAGCAGAATACTGCCATCTAGTGGTAGCAGCTTTTCTCAGACAGCTGTGTGTGGATCGTGCAAGGCGAAACCCGCGAAATGAAAGTCTCAAAATCTAAATGAATCAAATAGGATCGACTCAATGAAACGAGTCAATGAATGCACGCGCGTCACCTGATCCACACATGCACGTCTTCTGTGTTGCATGTGCAAATTATGATACACTAATACAAAGGAAAACATTTGTATTCACAAAAATGTCTCTATTTGTACAAATTGCTTCACATTCATTCAATTTTGAATTTTGCACACACAAGTTGAAAGGCATGGATAAAACATTTCTGCAACATGTATCAAGTTCATTGATAAGTGTGCTTGCACGTGTTAATCATTTTGATACTAAAATCATCCCATACTTTTCAGGCACTATTAATTGCAAGTGATCAAATAAGATTTGTGTGGCCAGACATAACCAATCAATCTGCATGGGTAATGACGTAGATGTACACACTTATGTGACGAGGCTTTCAAAACGGATGTAGGGAAAATGGAGGTGCATTAATCATCTCGCAATCGCGTTAAGAGTGACACAAATGATAGTTTGAAATCCAATTTGAGCAGCCAGAGCGTCCAGACTGAGACACATCTGTAAAAACCTGATTGGAATAGCATTTCAAAACACCGAAAAGCATTTGAAAAAATCCGATTTCATGTGTTTTTTTCAGAAACCCATCTGGATCGAATCTGAATGTGCAAAACCTCAGATTTTTGCTGGCAGTCTGAACATAGCCTAATAACATCGCTGAGGATTTTAATTATCTGGTATTTGGCCATATTCAAATTATCAGGCCTATTGGTCACTCCACCGAGATTTAGAGCTAAAATTTTGTGTATGTTTTATGCACATTAGCCAAACCTATGAAGCACTAGCACTGTAAAATCATGACAAATTAACGAGATCTCCTACAAACAATGTATGAAACTTTAACAACCTATTTCCTATATAGTTCACCATAAAATTTAAATTCCGTCATTAATGACTCACCCTCATGTCATTTCAAACCTCTAAGACTTTCGTTCATCTTCGGAACACAGATGAAGAACTTTTTAATGTCCCTCCATTGACAGCTACACAACTGACACTTTGAGTTTGACGCTTCAAAAAGTTCATAAAGAGATCGTAAAACTAATCCATATGAATTGAACGGTTTAGTCCAAACCAGCTTGACGCAGGAGAACAAACCTCATTGGCTCTTACAGAAGCTCAAACGTGATGCGTAACACGAGAATGAACTTCATTGGTTCTTACAGAAGCTCAAACGTGATGCGTAACATGAGAATGAACCTCATTGGTTCTTACAGAAGCTCAAACGTGATGCGTAACATGAGAATGAACCTCATTGGTTCTTACAGAAGCTCAAACGTGATGCGTAACACGAGAATGAACCTCATTGGTTCTTACAGAAGCTCAAACGTGATGTGTAACCCGAGAATGAACCTCATTGGTTCTTACAGAAGCTCAAACGTGATGTGTAACACGAGAATGAACCTCATTGGTTCTTACAGAAGCTCAAACGTGATGCGTAACACGAGAATGAACCTCATTGGTTCTTACAGAAGCTCAAACGTGATGTGTAACACGAGAATGAACCTCATTGGTTCTCACACGTCAAGCAAACAAGCTTGAGCTTCTGTTTACCACAACTGATGTGAGTTGATCAATGTTTATATGTGAATAAAAGCATAAATTAAATCTGTTCATCATATAAAGTGATCGAGTCTCTTGAGAAATTTTGGACTAAACCGCTCAATTCATATGGATTAGTTTTACGATCTCTTACTGAACTTTTTGAAGTGTCAAAGTGGTAGTTGTGTAGCTGTCAATGGAGGGACAGAAATCTCTCAGATTTCATTAAAAATATCTTAATTTGTGATCCGAAGATGAATGAAAGTCTTAGAGGTTTGGAACGACATGAGGGTGAGTAATTAATGACAGAATTTTCATTTTTGGGTGAACTATAACTTGCTGACCAAGATAAATAATGAAAGTGATGCATAATAATCCTAGAGAAGTACGTGAATCAATCAAAGTCAAACCTCTTCACAGACTTCTCGGGCAGCGGCGACGTTGGGCTCTTCCTCGGGCTCCATTCCTCCTCCAGGTACGATCCATTTGTCTGGGTGTCTGCTGCTGCTCACCAATAACACCTGTGTGACACATTACAAGACTTCAGTCTATCAGACCGGCTGAACAATATACCGGACAATTAATAATATAGATCATTGTGAAATAATCACCATTGGCTAGAGCTCATTAACAGAAGCTATGCTTCCCCTTGTGTCAGTATAAAATCTCCTGGCATTTTAACACATTTTTAAGTAAATATGTCATACAATAGGAGTAATTTCAGCAATTTGGTGAGGGTCTCATTGGTAAAGACGTGTGTAGAATGATCCTAAATGTGAATGTAGGCTACAACAGTTTGCCAAAAATGTTCCTATGAACAATTTATATAAATGTCTGACATAAGAACACATTCACCCCAATTTTTGCCCTTTTAAATCCTGCTTTGTTTTGATGTAAGATGAAATCCATGGAATTGGGGATCAAATTAGATTGCATGCGAGGTCCCTTGTTTTCTGTCAATAAACAGTATAGTAAAATGTTTTTCGTCACAACAGGAAATTCTCATTTTACCAATTTTAACTATGCTTTAAAACAATGGATAAAGTGATTTGGTTTATAAACTGCTGTAGTGGCACTCATGGTATTAGATGATACATATACTTACAAAAATGACCATGGTAACTTACTATGTTGGATAAGTGCCATGGTATTCTTGGGAGTACTGTAAATATATAAAAACCATTGGGAGTGCCATATTCATGAGACATATATGAAATATCAGTACCAAACCACTTTTACCATCGGATATACTTTGTTGTTAGTGGTGTTCAAGGAAAAATAATAGTATTTTCATGTTTTTTGGACACGGTTACCATAGTATGACCATCACTGTACCATGGTAACGTTACCACCACAGTACTTTACGGCAAGAAAGTCTTTCAAATATTATGACATATCTCAACTGAGATCCAATCAAATGAATGTCAATGAATCAATCAAGCTGTCACCGAGTCGCGCGCTTCGTTGATTATTGCTACTTTGCTAGTCGAGTCGTTTAACGCTAGGCCAACTCCGCTAACTAACGTTAGTCCACGCTAACCGCTGATAGCACGCCGCTAAAGCGTTTGATATTAACCAGCTGACGCGTTGAGAGACGCACGCATCGCGCGCTCTCCCTCCCGGCGGCCCGTTCGTTTCACCGGCACCGGTACCGGTACTCACCTCCTGCTCGTCCTCGCTCCTGAAGCACAGGCAGGCGGCCCGCTTCTTGTAACCGTCTCCATCATAGGTGCGCGTTTGGTTCGACTTAAGCTTCATCATCTCGGGCTGGGCGTTGTGACTGAGATCGGAACCTGATCCTGCCGCGCGGATAGAGAGGTAAAGTCCGCGAACTGGAAACCCCGCGTGAATCACTGGAAATAGACTCTTCTACGCTTCATTTTTCCAAAGCCGAGCGCATCTCGGAGACAGACGCCATTATCGAAACCGCTACGGAATGTGCGCATCCTGCACGGCGCATACGGATAACAGCCGCGTTCTTGTGTTTAGAGAATAAGGCCTGCGGGTGTGAAATTGCGCTTAGTAATCTGTTCATTGTACACGTTAATATTATTGTTATTAATTATAAATCGTTTTATTATTTTTTAATAATTTATTATGGTTACAGTAACATTAACAATAGGTGATATAATATTATTAATTTGATATAAACAGTATTTAATTAAAAAATACAATATTTTTTCAGAATATACAGTATTCCGTTTATTTTTATTATTGTTATTGTTACTTTAAACAATTATTTAATGTAAAATTGTTATAATATTATTAATTTGATTGAATAAATTCAATCAAATCAATGAATAAATCAGTATTAAAAAAAACCCGTAACTTTGTCGTACTGTAGTGTAGCCTACAAAAAACGTGTCACTCTTCGTCCAATCATTACATACAACTGTGTATAACATCCATCACCATTACAATCTTAAAGAATCATCGTAACCAATATGTATACAACTAAACAACATTAACCAAGAAGACAAATTATGAAATATACAGATCTATCAAATATCTCTACAATTGCTCAAAAATCTCTATAAAAATAGGCATATCTCCAAAAATATAATCATACCTCTGCACTTTTAGTTTAAATTGAAGTGAATATAAAACATCATAAACAATTATAAAATCTAAATCCATCTAATAGCTTTAATAATAAAAACCCTATAAGATATATCCCAAAATATATCCATTTTAGTATTTAAATTGAAGTGGAAACATATTTCTTAAAATTATTATACCAGCATAGCAACATAACTCCTTCCAGGCTACTCTGATATTATATGTTTTGTGCTAATAATATTTGAAACATGTTTAATATATAATAATAAATATATTATAACAGTACATTTTTTTATTGTAAAATATGTAAATGCATAAACAATTTGAAAAAGTATTTTTTATTAATTTCAACACACATTATACATACAAATAAACTATCTATAAATCTAATACACATTTTAGAACTCTAATAGTTTATTTATAAAATGTCACACACAAGTATTTCTATACAGGCCATTGACTGCTACACAGATGGTCATTGCAGAATAAATATTTTCAGATTAACATTGTCTTGGGCTTTTGCGGTCTATTCATGACACCGTATTACCTGAGGTGAATATTTCAGAATTCTGAAGTTATGAGGACTTGAATGCATGAAATACTAGTGTTTAAGGAGGATTAATATGGGCCATGATTTAGATTGCACTTCTGCTCCATTCAAAGATACCAAGGGAGTGTGTCATTTCATTTTTTAGTGCCCTGAAAAGTAGTAGTACGTTTGAATCCTTGAGAACCATAGCTTATTGTCACTGTTGTGATCTGTCATGTACAACAGCCAGATGATAAAAATAATTAAGAATTCCAAAAGCACTTGGGTGTGGAAAACCTTGAGCTGATCCCTGTAATGCAAACAGTTCTTTAAGGAATAATGCTGTAAATAAAAGAAAGAAAAGTGGGTTGTGTATTTTACATATTGTGGGCAATATTAATACATTTCAATGTTCGATTTTAAAGGACATTTTTATTTACTTTTTGGCGTCCTGATGAAACAAAACCACCTGAGAACCACTTCTATAAGCAAGTGCTTTAGGGAATCATTTAGCTTGATGTGTAATTTCTTTCCTTACCATTAAGGTTTTATCCAGAAATCCTTTTTTAACCATTTAAGAAACAAGGGATTAGTACAATAAATGTCACCATGTAGTTCCAAACCGAACAATCAGTTTCAAAGTGTGATTTGTACCCGCAAGCTTGGTGTCAGTGATGGCTTCAAAACTGACCAATGCTTCCGTACACTTCTATAGTGACAGATAAATACAGACAAATGCAGAAATATACATCCAAATATAAACCTTTGTTATTATCTTCAATGCTGATTCCTGGGGATTCTAGTGGAAAACATCACATTATAAGCTAAAACGACGTGCAACATGAATGCATTCTATGAGGACTATCAAGCACATGATGTTACACAGTTAAATTATAGCTTGATCTAAATCTAGTCTACAACTTGGACACAAACATTACTGAACAAACCTACAAACAAAGCATACGTAGAAAAGCACCTCAGTCCAATAGATATATATTAAAAATAGCTGGAAACACATGACATATTTGTATGCAGTGTGACTCTGGATTCTACAGTAAATTTGATCTAATGACATAAAACTCATTATGCATTAAAGCAGAATATTACATCTGATACTGTCCTTCTGTGGTTGTCGAAAGACGTGAATGACATTCCAGGTTTGAGACCAGACGGCTTGTTTGTTTGGTTGAGTATGAGGTAGTGCTGCGATTAGATTTTTACTGCTCCTCCTCTTCATCTTCTTCAGCGTCCTCAGATGAGTCCTGAGGTTTTTCCTTTTCCTGTTCAGAGCGGAATCAAATGTTTGGGGATAAAATGCATGAAAGCAAAGCTTCTCTTTTGCTGCATGTTATATTTGACATTTGCAATGAACTCCCATTTTTAATAGGTTTAGCAAGATAGTTTGACCTTTAAAATCTTGCAGGATGGTGTCACTGCCGTGCAAGTTGAAATTCAAAATTTAAAGAGGCAGTTCACCCAGAAATAAAACGACTAATTTATTCCTATGATTTTCTTTCTTCCATGGATGTTGTGCAGAATCTTAATGTTGCAAAAATGCACGTGTTTACTGGTGTAACCCCTCCGGGTCACGGCACCAGTGTAACCCCTCCGGTTCTACTCGCATAGGAGGCAGCCGTGCTAACAAGGGCGCTAAAGACCGCAGTCTCTAGTGTCAGTCGCTAGTGCACCTCTTGAGGCCAGGGCAGTGAGGTTTAGTCGCACGGCTCCTACTAGCTGGCCTCTGTTACACCAGCGCATGGGCGGGGCAACCTGTCACTCACATGAGATCCACCAATAGCAAACCACAAACATCCAATCACTTCCTCATGGACAAAATCAAGCCCCGGCCAACATTTTTTCTTGTTCCAGAAGCAGTTTCAAAGGATATACGTCACAATAGGGGGGGAAAAAACCCGGCTTCATGCCGACTTCACTTTAAAATCTCTACATTAGTGTTCCACGGAAGAAAGAAATGAGTAAAAAAATTTTTTTAGTAAACCATTATTTTAAGATGTACCTCTTTCTTAGGCTTTCCCCTCGGTTTGGTGACAGAAGCCGATGATTTCTATTTGAACAGAAAATTAAATTAATAACAATTATTCAAGTGTCAAAAAATATGTAATTTAGTTATATGCAATCGTCCTTTCCAGGCTACATCATTGGATAAAAACAAGGGTGCTTTTATTTATTTATTTATTTATTTATTCCAATGCATTTTCACAGGTCAATAGCAATGCTTCTCTAGTGCACCAGTAGAGGGAGCTCGTTTCTGCACATGACAACAGATGGAGGGGGCATTGAGTTCATTGAGGACTCTTGAGGCGGGAGCTGACAGTGCATTGCTCAGGGCTACAGTAAGTGGCTAACAGCGGGTCACCTGCATTTGCTCGGACTAGGCGGATGAGCCGTCAATGAAAACCCTGCATACACTATTCCGAATTAATAATGCATATATGTCTCTGTGTGTTTGCAAACAGGAGACAGCTGTGTTGTATTAACCACCAATAGTGAGAAAATAGTGTCTATTTACATACAGTTATGCCATAATTACACAAAGAGAATTAATCATAGTATGAGTAGTAATCATAGTTACGCTCTTGGATGGGCCTTTGTTTTTGCTGCCTTTTGGGCGTCCTCTTGGTCTTTTTGTAGTTGGTGACCCACTTAATTCCTGCAAAAAAAAAAGTTTATTAAGAAGCTCCTTTAATACAACAGACTGTAATGTTACTAAAACTGAGGATGCATTATTAAAACATGAGGTATTATAAAAATACCCACTAGATGCCTATAATGGAGGCATTATTATTTTCCTTTCACTCAGAAATTAAACAGGTTTAATACTTGATTATTAATAATGTAGTATTACTTCATACCTTTGGATGCTTCCTTGGTCTTCCTCGTCCCCTTTTCTCCACTCCATCCTTGTCTTTGACGGAGACAGTTTGTTTCTCTGAATCGCTCATGTTTCTAGGCTGTTTAAAATACAAATGAAATGAATTAAACAGCTGATCCTATATCCAAGGAGATTCAATTTGAGCCTTATGCTGATGACCTATTAATATGGCTTAAAAATAAAATATGGTTTATTAGTTGCATTTTTTTTTTTATAAACAAAATGTCAACATGATTCAAACGTCCTCCATTAAAATGACTTACTGTAGTACACAGGTGAAATACACTAACTGATGCAATGAGTTAAGTTTAAAGGGAACAATTCTGATCATCGTTACGCATTCAGCATTGATAGTCTTTAGCACCCCAAATCTAAAAAAATATATATGCACCACCACTCTCATAAAGTTGAATGATTGCATTCATGTCTAAAACCCTTGGATCACTTCGTGTTGATGCACAGGCGAGGCGCTCAATAGGTTATGCAACGACAAATCTATATGGAAGCCATATAGCGCGCGCTGCACTTGGAGACCGACGTGCAAATGAGCATTACAGTTACAGCCCTTGTGCAAGTTGCAACCATGTAAGACAGAACGAAACATTGACTTACATGCACTTACAGGAAAATAATGGTGTGCGCGCGCTGTTCTGTTGGGTGGCCCCACCTCCCGCAATGCCGATCTGATGATTGAATTAGAGCGCAACCGACCGTCTCCAAGGCAAATAGACGTATAACGGGTGGAAAACTGAGGAATTAACTCTGTCGGTTCTGATCGTATCGAGGGATACACGCACGGAATAGATGCGATTAAAGCGAGTTCAGGAATAGCAGCCTGTCACTGGAATAAAAGGCCAATGGAAAAGCAGGATGAGCCGCAGGTTGATGGGAAGAGAGGCGGATCTCACGGGCCATATGCTACTGGGACAAAGTACTGGCGCCAAGTACAAATGAACTTCAAAAAAAAAAAATCTTCACGCTTCTTTAAATAATATAACATAAAATAGCTTCAAATTAAATGCACAAATAATATATAGGCATTATATAGATAGATAGATGGATGGATGGATGGATGGATGGATGGATAAAACACTAGGCTACTTGATTACTTTTCATGAGAGCCGATTTTAAACAAAAATTTCAACCCGATAACCAAATTAAAATTAAGGTATATTAAAAAAATAATAAATGCAATTAGGCTACTTTTAACACACACACACACATTAAAATAAAATAATAAAACAGAAATTCTCTCTCTCACACACACACACACACACACACACACACACACACACACACACACACACACACACACACACACACACACACACACACACACACACACACACGCACGCACGCACACACACACACACACACACACACACACACACACACACACACACACACACACACACACACACATTAAAATAAAATAATAAAACAGAAATTCAAACTAAACTAAATTAAACAAAATAAATAGCCTATAAGCCATCAAGCTTCTTTAGGCTAACATTTTATAATACAATAGGCTAACTAGACAGATAGATTAAAACTTACAATAAAAATAAAATAAACTAGATGACAGATAGATCAACTAATTTGCTAAATATATCGAAAATCTTCATAGATATCCGCTTTCAAAAGTGTTTAGAATAGTTACAGTTGAGAGTTGCAGGTGACAGGTCCTCACCGAAAATGTTGATTCCTTTCAGAAACTAGGCGCGTAAATGTGACGTTGCCAATCTACGTCATTGCGCTTGGAGACAGCAGACTAGAAGAACCAAAACAATGAGATTTACATTATCTGTATGTATGCATTACACATTGTCATTTGTTTGAATGTTTTCTGGTATGAAAACAGAACGAACCGATGAACTGAAATGCGTGATAGTCGCGTTTCTTGTGTGTTGAATCCCTGTGAATGGCTTATGTCTTGTTTACAGCGCAAACAACTCTTTAACATTCGGCCTTATTAGGGTGAGTCAATAGCATTTTTTGAGAAAACAAACGTTCATTTGTATTGCATATATATTTAATATTGGTTAGTTGTGTGTGTAAAAGGCTGTTTAATGTGTCGCTCTTCAGGTATGAGCAGCTAGCATGCTAACTAACTGGGATTACAGCTTTAAACCAGAAGATCTGGGTGTTAAGCGAATGCTTGTATATCATAACAACTTTTGAGGAGTTAATTATTCATTTGGCAAGCTGTTTTTAACGCTAGTGTACATTACATTTTGTGAAATGTACAGAATGTTGTCTTTGGTAAAATATCTGCATAATGCACAATATTTCAAAAAATGTAATGTACACTAACATGCTTATATATAGATTAACAATAAAATTGATGAAAAGCAAAATATAAAATGCCATAGATAAATATTTACTGAGAAATACACTATTTTGTGGAGCGGGTCAAAATTACAATTTCCACCTGAGATTTAGAGCCAAATCACAGGTGGGCAAATATGACTTTAGAAAGATGGCAGCATCATTATTTTATTTTTATGCATAGATAGATAGGTTGATCTAGTAAATCCTGTTGTCTTTAGCAATCTTTGTTGCATTATATGACTTTCTTAACTCATTTAAATTTTAGGTGGAAATTCTCATTTTTAGCCCCCTCTACAAAACTGGATTAAATATTCATCCATGGCATTTAATATTTTGGCTTTCATCACTATTTATGTTAGTCTTTCTTCAGAAAAAAATATTCACAAAATTAAAAATGTATGCTGGGGACCTCTGGTGGAGTTGACGCGGAATGACCCAATGAAATATTATTATTTATGTATGTATTTTTGCCAGAACAAATAGAGTGATCAGGTGGGATGTTGCAATTCCTATAAAAGTTACCAACCCCTAAAGCCAGTTTTTAGTCCCATTTAGTGCTTGGCGAGTGTTCATTTTGGACCTTGCCTGCAGGTATTACAGACTATAAAAAAGCTCACCACAGTTAAGAGAGCTAGTTCAGCCACACACCGCAAGCCACACATGCCTAGATACATTGCCATTTGACTTTCCCTTTAAGGCAGAAGTCTGTAACATGCTCTCTGTTTTTCAGGACTGAACTGACATGATCTGCTGATCGGTCCCCCTCCTCTAGAATAATGCATCATCAGTAAAGATGGGAGGCAGCGGGTCCAAAACTAAAGGAGTCTGGCCTTTTAGCAGCTCAGGAGCTGGTGGAGATCCTCCCGGTGAGGTCACTGAACAGTGTTTAGCGCGTCTGAAAGGCTTCAAGAATGCCACACCATTTGTCTTCACAAGGAAAAGGTAAACATTGTGTTAAAACCTGTGTTAAAAATGTGAGGAAAACCTGTGATCCTCCAGGTCAATAACCAGCGAGTTCTGAGGCCCTCTTGGTATTAAGATGCGTTTTGGATGATCGGATCACAAGTAGACGAGGGAGACACATACACGTTTACACCTGGTGTTTTTAATCCGTCTCTTTTGTCCACTTTCAACCACTTCTGTCCTGGTTTATAGGGGAGAGTATATGGGCAGGTCAATGTATGGGTCTTTCGATCTAATGGACAAAACAAGCCTGTGCAATTTACATCTGAACTCGACTGGAGACAACGGAGAAACACACGGATGTGATGGGACGTTTGTCGTCTTCAAACCAAACTTGGGTGTCCAGCCGACAAAGTTTAAATCCCGTCTGGCTGGCGCACTTCCCATGATGTTTAATGTTAAGTCAGTAGGCGGAGAGTCGATGGTCTTTTGTGGCTGTTTGAACACTTTCGAACACATGAGCGTTTAGACTACGAAAGAAATCCGGTCGAATGTGTTTTCGACTTGAAGTGGTGGAAAGTGGACAAGCTCAAAACAGTTTTAGACCCCGTTTACACTTGTATTTAGCGTCGTCCACTTGTGATCCGATCGACCAAAACACTTCTTAATACCAGGTGTAAACAGGGCCTAAGAGCCATTTAGTTTAGTCTAGTCAGTTGTTGATGGTTTGGGTTGGGCCATGTGAAGTCAATAACTGGGTGATTCTCATTGCAAGAACATGTCCAACTCATATTTCACCCCAAAATCAAGAGAAATAAACGTTCTTTACTTAATTATTATTATTATAACTCAACAAAGCTAAATGTCATCTTTCATAACCATTGAGAAAAGTGGTATTGATAAAAAGCATTCATTTCATTAAAGTGCCCCAGTATGCCTTTTCAGGTATAACCGTTTATGCAGTGTGTAATATAGCTGTTTGTGAATGTAAAAGGTCTTCAAAGTGCAGATAAATGGAGTCTCCTGGAAGAAACGAGCCTGCACCTACTTATGTTTGTAACTAATTTGCATAATGCCAGCCTATGGTCTTCATAATCCACGAACCAAATAAATCCACTTTGATTCACTTCCAAGGATGAGGAATTGATACAGAACCCAATGCCATCATTCGTATTATAGTGTATCAAGCGCTGAGTGAAAAGCCTCCGGAGCTGAAATTCAGATATGGGAATGGGCATTTGTTGCATTTGCAACATGTGCTGTAACAAGCGGTCAAGACTAGGCCATCTGACCAATCAGAGCAGAGTAGGCTTCCTTTATCAAATTGTTTCAGACACTTAGAAAAGAGGTGATGTTGCAATGGATATTATGAGAAAATGAAAGTGTTTTTGAGCTTGTATGCATGTAAACCTGTTGTAGGAGGCTCCAAAACAACATTAGGACCCTTTAAACTAGCATAATAGGGGCACTTCCATTGTTCTGTAGGTTTGGCGAAAGTGTGCTCAATTGTCATAATGCCACAACCAAATAAATAAATATTTCATTTTATTAAATTAATAATTCAAATTTTGTGCATTTTTTTTTTTTACATATTTTGTGTGTGCGAGAGAAATGAAAATGAAAATGAAAAAGAAAAACACTTGGATGTGTTTTTGAGCAAAACATTTTAAAATATTTTTTTGTGCGTGAAATGTGACTTGGAAGCGTTTTTGTGATATTCACGCAGCTGCTCTTTGTGATTTGCAGTTCCTTGTATTTTGATGAAGATGGCGATCTTGCTCATGAGTTTTATGAGGAGACTGTGGTGACCAAGAATGGCAGAAAGAAAGCCAAGCTGAAAAGAATTCAGAAAAACCTCATACCTCAGGTGAGCTAAACTGATCCGGTCAGATACTGTACATGGACATGTTTACTGCAAAAAAGAAATCAAGTGAAATTTAATATACAGAATAAATATAAATGATGGTGATTAAACTCTAAAATTAATATTAAAGATCCTATGTTAGAAGCGACTTATTTATATGACTTTAATTTACATCACAGCCTGGAAAACTTGCTAATTGATGGCATAAGACATTTATAATTTATTATAAAAAAAAAAAAAAATTCTCTACTTTCTCCATTTCTCAAATCACTCCCTGTTCTTGCTTGTACTATTCTAGACAAGGTTTAAAACGTTGTGTTTTTAGCTTATGTTATTGCCTCCTTAAGATGAATCACACATTGTATTCCTCATTTGTGAGTTGAATTATAGACAAAAGCGTCTGCTAAATGAATAAATGTAAATGTAAAATATATTTGGTCTGTTTCTCCAGAATAGAAAGACTGCACTTTTTTTTTATGTGTAACTGCTAAAAAATACATTCAGCCTCAAAGCTAAAAGACATTGACTACAAGGCATTTATGTATTTATTTGTTTGTTTTTAAATTATTTAATTTGATTATATTAATCATTCAAATTTAGCGTTTTTCCGGCGTTTGTTCAAGGTCTACTATCTAAACATCTAAGCTACCCTTAATTTATTTATTTATTCTTGGTCTCTTATCTAAATATTTCGCTTACCTTAAATAGCATAATTTAGTTTTATAGCTCTTCATTTTGTATAAAAAGCATTTTTTTTTTACCATATTTTTGCATTTCATGCTTCCAGGGAATCGTTAACTTGGATCACCCCCGAATCCACGTGGACTTCCCTGTCATCCTGTGTGAAATATAAGCAAACAGACTCTTTAGGAAGTGACACGGCTCTAGGAGCGCCACAATCACCCTCGAGTCTCGACTTCCTTCCACCTCTGCCGTTCCTCTGTAAGGACACCCCGTGGCTCTCTGTTACGACAGGGAGGGCGTTTGCCCTTCATCTGGCTTTGACCAAAAAGTTGAATCATATTTTCTAATTTGCATTCTGGTGTATAGACAGCAGACGTACGTCGTCCTGTCTTCTGTGATGTACAGTAGGGAATGCATGTGCAATGAGAGTGTGTAAGTAAGGAACCTAAAGCTATGCAGGGATTGTACATAAATCATGTGTTTGTTAATGTCGACCAATTGCAGTGCGTGTTTATCGTTTTATTGTATATTATAATATTCTGTTGTATCAAAGTCTGTCTCTGTTTGTTGGGCCGCAACCCACATCTGCACTTGTAATCATTTAATGTACAGTAAATTATGAGTTAATATACTTGAATAAAATGGTTTAGCAGATTACATGGCAGTGATTATTCATGTAACTCGATGTAAATGTTTATAATAACATGAAATGCCAGGACAGTTGCTTTTACATCCATAATGTTATGCAATCTCCAAGTGAAACAAAATATTCAGTGAAGACGTCATGCTGAAAGGAAAGTCCTTTCTAAATTGGAGACTGAGAATGCATATTGAATGTTGACTAACATTAAGATTAAAAAAAAATGGTCTATATTATAATTATTTTGAGTATATCTGTATCCGCTGATATTGAATATATTTAATTGTCGCTAATTTCTACATTTTTACATTTACATGACCTTTGACATCATTCTAACAGCCACTTAGTTAATCTTTGTTAATAAAATTGTTTGTTTTTAATTTAATAATATAATTTAATTCTCTAAAAAATATTTAAAAAATTCATTCTGTAGGCCTACATTATAATGTTGTGACCAGTGTTGTTTTAGCATAATTGATATACTATGATTTTTCTTAATATTTTGAATTAGAATAGATTTTAATTTTATATTTTCAGTTGTATGTTTTATTTGTCTTTTTTTATAAATATGTATAGTTTTTATTATGTTTTAGTTTTAGGTAAATTAGTCCATAAATTAAGAACTTAAACTAAATGAAATTGAAACATATTGTTTTGGCAACTAGCTTAAGTTTATTTTTATATTTAATTTAATTTTGGATAATGTTTCTTAGTAAAGAAAAAGTTGTAGGTTTTAGTTAACGATAATAAACCTGGTTGAGACTCCCAAATTAATTTTTTTTAGCATTTACTTTTTTAATTTATGTGTTAAAAAATTTCAATATTATTATATATTTATTATAATTATTATTTATTATATAAGTTGTTATTCATTTATTCAGAGTTAGTATTCATTCATTTAATAATATAGAATTTTCATCTCTGCCATTTATTGGTTATCGGCCATAAGAAGAAAATAATGATCATTAATTTGTTGTAATAATAAATTACTGGAATGTCACTTTTGGTGCAACACAATGTTTTCGTTACACAATAAAAGAGGTTTAAAAAATATTTTTCTAATAAATTATAATATCATCCTTTCCTATTTATTTTGGACACTTTTTCCTTGGGTTGTGCATTGTAACCGGCGTTCTTCTTCCATATTTCGTTTATTTTGGCTGTGTTCAGTGTTTGCCTGGCACTGGGGATGTGGGTGTGGTAAATGTGAAAGGTCAGAGGTTAAGCTGTTTGTAATGTCTCCTCGCTTCTTTGAAGTTCACCGCTGAGAGGCTTCCACTCCCGTTCAGCAGCTTGTGCTCTATCGGCATACGATAGATACATTATCAGAGCCGGCCAGGCCCCGCAAAGGCACGTTCATTGCAAACAGATGCCTGTCCCGATGTAGATGACTTCACTGGGAATGTTCGTCCCACCCATGTGAATGAAATACAGGAAGCTGCGACAGGATGCCATGTCTGCGCACAATCCCTGACACCGATAAGAGAGAACACACTGCTGGAGGGTGTAAGAGTGAATGCGTGATGAGACATGTGAAGGTTACAGCGGCCCACTGGGGCTTGTGTGTGTGTGTGTGTGTGTGTGTGTGACGGTACTGTTAAACAGTCAGATCACATGCTATGCTATCATCCTCATAATGCTTGAAATATAGAGCTATTCCCCAGTGTTCGCTTGTTAAGATCTTATAAGATCTTACTTTTTCAACCTCAAAAGCCTTTTATCATTGGCCTCTGATAAAGCTGCTGGTTGACCTTTGACCTGAAGGTTTGCTCTTATAGGAGTAGAGATGGAGAGATAATACAGGGGAACTGCTGCCGGACGCTCAAGGATGTGAGTTTGCCATTTTTGGGAGACGGGCTTGATGGGTGTGTGTGCGTCCAGTTCCTCTCATATTGTTAAAGCTTCCTGGCGCTGCCTAGTTGGAAGAAACAGTGATGTAAAACCCCGAGAACGGGGAGAAAAGGAACGGGCGGAGGAAGGAAGTGTCCCTCTCTTTTTCATGAGCGCACATGCACTGACAGAGCACACACACACACACACACACACACACATGAGTCAGCAGAAGATCAGCGGAACAGGATCTCAGTTGGTCATTCTCACTTGAAAGAAGCCTAATGACGCTCTGATTTCATATCCGTCATGTGAATCCTCAAACATCTAGTTTCAGTGAATCTATATACTGTTGTTTCTATTTTAAAGACCAAAGCAAGGCAAAATATAGGTCATAATTTATTAATATGGATAAATCTTAAAATTAACACTTATGTGATGGATGAGAAATTGAAATAATTTTTTATTTTATTACATTAAGAGCATAGAAACAGCTGCTTTGTCAAATTATAGATTAAGATTTATACCATGGTATTCATCTGTAGTGATTCAAGGTTCTTCAAAAGCATACTATAGTATTATAGTGTCTGGAGGTAGCAGTATCGTGTTCAAAAACATGGTAATTTTATGGCTTTTTTGCAAGTCGGCCCTTACAAATGTGTGTGTCTGTGTGTGTGTGTGTGTGTGTGTGTATTGTGATCAGTGAGCATATGCTGTTTCTTTTCATTTTATTTTAATTAATTAATTAATTGTTATACATATATATATATATATAGGTGTAAATACACACACACACATACAAAAATTGTTATTAGTGAGCATGTTCTGTTTCTTTTTAATTTACATTTTCTTTTCTTTCAATGTATTTATTTATTTAATAATATACACACACACACACACATTTCTGTGATCAATGAGCATGTTCTGTTTCTTTTAATTTTAATTTTCTTTTAATTAATCAATTTAATAAATGTTTTTTTTTTATTGATTTAATATTTATTCAATTAAAAAAACGTTCTTTTGGACCTGAATTGCACATGTTATACTCACATGATTTGCATAAAGGAAACACGCCCCCAGTGAGCTGGTCATAAACCACGCCCATGCAACGAATCAATGAAACTTATGAAAGTGGCGCTTTGAAGTTGTTGCGCTGCCGCAAAGATACACGCTTATCAGATGAAGAATATGACAAGATTCTCATGAGACTTCAAGCGACATTACATCGCAACATCTGATCTGAAGCCTTTATGAACAGCGGAACACTCGCGGAAGTCTCTATGAGGCAACAGCAATGATTTACATCGCAAACACAGGATGGAGTTATGTATCAGGGAATGACTGTTATTTTTAATATCAAAGGTGAGTTATTTCCATGAAAAAGTTGTTTTGGTTTCATGTTTGTTGCTCTGTGATTGATGTGAAAAGGCTGGTGTTGGTTTTTGATTGTATTAAACACTTTTTACACTCACAAAATGATATGTACCATGGTACTACGATATTCTTTGAATTTTGCAAAGAGATTTACATTTTATTGCTCAGATGCTGTTCTTTTTTGTTCTCATTTATGTTTTATTTAAACATCAACTTATACAATCCCCTAGAAGAAACAAATAGAGTTTATTATCGACGTAGAGTATGCCTAAATATGTACAGTGCAAGATTAATGTGGAGAACAGAAAAAAGAAAATTGGCGTTTGGAAATATTTGATGAGAAATATTAAAATAATTGAGATCTCTGATTTTTGATTAAAATTAAAGATTGTATCTTGACAAACCTAAACATTGTCTGAGACTCATCTTCATCTAATCCCATTACTTTAGGATAAACAAATGAGATATGAAGATATTTTTTTATGGGTCAGTAAAATCAATGTCTGATCAGGTCATTCTGCCTTAAATTGGAATATCATCATGTGTCTCTCTATGAATTGTGTGATTGTGTAAAAGGGTTACAATAAAGTAGCATTTAACATTTCATTCATAACTTTGATTACTTTAGGTAAAAGAAATGTGTTTATGTATTTGCTAAATTATTACAATTATATGTTTACAAAAAAATAACATGGATATTATCTAATATAAAAAAATTATATTTAATTTTTACAGTGGGAATAGCAGTAACAGTTAGAATAAGAACTTAGAATAAAAACTCAAAGTCATACAATCATTGATTTATAACTTATTACATTTACGAGGTTAAAATGGTCTCATTACATTTGCTGCGGTCCCCTATATAAAAAACTCATGTCTTCTTGTTTCCCTGCTTTGAATGAACAATATCAGAAAATATTTTTATTGACTGAAAATTCTGATCATAATGAACTGTAATGAGGAATGTGACTTTATTTCAGGCCCTTATTGTGAATGACTGAAGCCATGGATTACTGGATCCAACTTAATTGGAGAATCTGGTTGTTGGTTCCACTGGCTCTGGATCATCTTGCTCTTGCTGAAGAGCTGAAGCCCACCAGATGGCCTCTTTACCCTCAGAAGCCGCTGGTTCTTGTCTGGAACGCCCCAACTGAAGACTGCAGGCCTCGACACAAAGTCCATTTCCAGCTGGACCAGTTTCAGATCGTGGCGTCTCCAAATGAGGGCTTCACCAAGCAGAACCTCACCATCTTCTACAAAGACCGCCTGGGCTTGTATCCACACTTTGAGCACGGCACCGCCGTCAATGGTGGACTACCTCAGATCGCCAGCCTCACGCACCACCGAGAGAAGATGCCAGAGGGGATTGAGAAGTACATTCGTGACCCGTTCGCACGAGGTCTGGCCGTCATCGACTGGGAGGAATGGCGTCCGCTGTGGATTCGAAATTGGGACGCCAAAGGCATATACAAGACCCAGTCGGAGCGCTTAGTGGCCCAGAAAAACCCGAACTGGACTCTTGCCCAGGTAAAAAAAGTGGCCCAGCAGGAGTTCGAGATGTCCAGCCGCAAATTCATGCTAGAGACGTTGCGTCTGGCCAAAAGCTTGCGTCCCAACCAGCTGTGGGGCTTCTACCTCTTTCCCGACTGCTACAACCACGACTATCGCAACAGCCTGGAGAACTACACGGGCCGCTGCCCGGATGTAGAGGTGGCCCGGAACGAACAGCTGAAATGGCTGTGGACTGAAAGCACAGCCCTGTTTCCTTCAATATACATGGGCTCTGTGTTGCGTTCAACATCCTTTGGTCGCC